TGGTGTCTCTCGATCTGTGAAGTGTCGCCTAATGTCGTGATCGTAGTAAAACTGTAGAAACGGGTCACTCTTATACTCTCCACTGTTATCTGAACGTAGAGTCTTCACCTTTTTAACTGTCTGCATCTTTACTTTCTTCTTCCACTTCACAAAAATATCCAGGACCTCATGTTTATGCTTCATAGGGTATACTCAATTCCTCCTGAAATAATCATCAATGAAAGTGATAAAATAGTTAGCCCCACCAAGTGATGTGTTTTTGAAAGGGTCCCAAACATTTGTGTGAACGTAATTTAATATACCTTGGGTATTGTGAATAGCGGTGCCGAACTTCACTCTAGTCTTCTTTTCAAGTACACAATACTCACACAACTCCATCTTGCAGGTCTTAGCACCTTTCAAAACCCCCTGTTTCGCTAATGACTGCAGGGACTTATCATCTGTATGTCCTAGTCTCATGTGTCATAAAGTGATAGTGTCCTCCTCTGTAGTGATAGAAGCTGTCAGACCCCCTGTAACCGTCTTGCCCTTCAAGTAGTATAGAAAGTTTTCCCTGACTCGTTGCATTACCACCATAGAACCCTTTGTGACCTTCATGGTAGCATCCTCTAAGATCACCCGATAACTAGCTGCCTCCAAAGTATAAGGAGAAATGATGTTCTTCATCAACTGCGGCACGAACCTCACTTCTTTGAACTCCCTCACCACACCATCATGCATCCTGATTCGGACTGAACCAATACCATCAATAGGGCATACATGGTCATTACCCATAAGCATGACATCCTCTCTTTCTAGCTCCTCAAAGTTGGAGAACCAGTCCCTCCTCGGACAAATATGATATGTGGCTCCCGAATCCAATATCCACTCCGAAGAGTCGGCATAGCAAACCGACGGTAGTGCAGAGTACAAATAGACCAAAGAATCTGAATCTGAATGTTCGCTAACACCTTTTGCAACATTCACTTCTGAACCTTATACAGCTTTCCCTTTGTTCTTCCCGGATTTTTTCTTTCACTTTGGACAGTCAATCTTCCAATGTCCTTCTTCTTTACAATACCGACATTGATTTCTACCAACACTCTTATAAGCACCTCTATTCTTCGATTTTGAACGATTGACATAGCGGTGGTTTGGACTACGGCCTCGAACTGCTAATGCATCTCCCGATGCCTTCTCGGAGGGTTCGCCATCACTCTTCCTTAACTCATAATTCACCAACGCTGATGTCACCTCCTTGTAGCTAATAGTAGTTCTTCCATTGATCATAATGAGAACGAATGCTCCATAATCATCCTTGGGCAACAAACACAAAAGTAGCATCGCCTTGTCTTCATCTATAACCATGATGTCCACATTGGCCATATCTAAAAGTAGCTTCGTGAAATTATTTACATGCTCCCTAATGGAAACTCTCTTCTTCATCTTTAACTGGTAAAACCTCTTCTTCAAGTGAAGTCGATTCTTAATGCTCTTCGTAAGATACTTCTCATTGAGTGTTTCCCACATTCTTTTTACCGACGTCTTGTTCATCACGTCATAAATAAGATCCGACATCAAGCATGACTGAATAACTCCACAAGCCCTACTATTCATCTTCTTCCAAACATTGTCCTCCATATCAGTGGGTTTCTCTTGTAACTCAAGAGTCTCCTTCAAATTCTGTGCATCCAACGCGTCCATCACCTGACACCTCCACAAACCAAAATTGATCTTGCCGTCGAACTTCGGAACATCAATCTTCATGTTATTGATGCTCAGACGCTGTATCGCCTTCGTAAGAGACGAACCTGATGTGCTTGCTTCTCCCATATTGTCGATCTAACTCTTCAAATAGGAATCCTTCGTCGAATCATTTGAACAAGCCTCAAGCCAAACCTGAAGCTCTGATACCACTTGTTGTGCACGACGGAAGCTCGAAACCACACGGACAAGAACAAGATAAATCACAACCAATAAGCCAAACACAAATACCACAGCAAGACAAACGAATTTAACGTGGTTTGGCAAGTTGCCTACGTCCACGGAGCAAGGAGGGAGGAGTTCTTACTATTAGAAATTAAGAGAATATAAATAGGATTACAAATCTCACCAAATAAACCCTAAAACAAAGCCTCTAGATCTCTTACAACTCTTCCACAATTGGATGCAGTAATCCCCTCTCTAAGATTGCTCAAAACGTCATTGCTTAACCCTAATTAATTAGGATTATGCTTATATATCAACTCAAAAACGAACCGGGTCAAAACTTGTAACCCAACTTAGAACCGCTAAGCGGTCGACCGCACCCTCACGACAGAAAGTAAAAACGCCTATAGGGTCCTCACGGTCGATCGCGGCGG